TGATGATGATGATGATGATGATGATGATGATGATGATGATGATGATGTGATAGTAGCGATCATGATAAAGATTATGTTGGAAGATGGTGTTAGCACATTTCCTTTGGAAGAAACCCTTCGCAGGTGCTTTCGGGAAAAAAAAGTTGTTTTGCAAACATGTTAGTTTTCTCCGGTGTAACTGTTTGGGGAATACTCCTAGTGGTTCAAGGGTTGATTTGGTTTGTGCCTGGTTTGATATTCCCACAACCTCTAGAGTCGGAGCGTAGGGGCTCGCAGACCCAACAGTACGCATCACTTGAACTCACATCAATTTGCCGATGTTTCAAGAGTTTGCAGCTACCTTTTCCATGATGGATACCAATCAAAACCTCCGCCTCGCTACCGGAGGCTACCAACTTTGTTGGTGACTGCATAACCGTGTCTGGTTCCTGGTAGTGTTAAACAGCATCTGGGCACCCCAGCTGCTAGGCACGCCACCAAAACCTAGACCCAGCAGCTTTGCGAGAGGCCCCACACCAACATAAGCACCAACTAGCGTGAAATTTGCTATTTTGATACTGTGCCTTCCCAGATCAAAAAGCGAGTTGTCGAAAAATGATGGAATCTGGAATCTGTCACGTCTGGTCATTAGATGCTCATCAAAAGGTTCAATTCCTCGATTGCATGGTGCTTTACGTGGTAACGTACTTGCCGCAACGTGTCTTTACTGTCTATTCAAACTCAATCTCTTTAACGAAACCTGTACCCCAATCATGTTTGCCAAAGCAAGAGAACTCTGCCTAGCTATCACTAGCTTTCCTGAAATGGTTCCCCAGCTCATCTCTCAGTCCTCGCACATCTTCATTAATTCAAAAGTAGGCAAGTTGTTGTTGGGAGCAGGTTCACAACGTGAAAGCAAAACTGCTGCTGTAGCTGGTGCAAGCTCCGATGGATGAACATCAGAATTGACTACTGGTTCGGACATAGTACCATCCATGGCTAAGCCTACCACAGCCAGTCTCCGGCGTGCCATCTAGACCTGTCAGCTTTCAAAACGACGTGCATGATTTCGAACCCCTATCATTGGCTCTCTACAACATAATTTGCAGCTTGGCACCTGATTTATCCTAAAATAAGAAGCCGTGTATATATGTCATATGTCCTTGTGCCCAACGACAAAACTCGTGAAAGAGGATAGCTTGTTGTCGCGCTGCAAAGCTGTTAAGTGAAAAAAAAAAGCAAATCAATGTTCCTCTCCGAGGACCTACCGTAGTCTTGATTGCAAGATCTGGCCATCTTCTTTGCGGTCCTTGTGATATGCATCTCACAAAGATGGGGCTCCGGCAGCTCTGTGCGGTCAGACGGTCATGCTACGCTGCTACAACATCTGAGCCAAGAAGCCATCTGGCCCACAAATCCTGAAGAGCACCGTACCTAGCTTCAACGTATACCTCTACAAAAGGATTGGCGGCCACAGAGTCCACTAAGCGACATGTACCTGGGTCTGTCCCGCAGATCCTTTGCTCTTGATGTTCATATTCTAGTTGTGCAGCTGTCAAGCATCTCCCATCACGAAGCCAACAAACTCAAAAATGTGACACAGCTGGAGCAGGCACGGAGGTTACCTGGTCCAGTGACTGTTGCAGAGAACAGAACCTCCTTGACAAAGTCTCGGATCTTGCAAGTTGCAGTGGATGATAATCAAGGTTTGATGAGGCACATCAACACATCTGACTCATCTGACTGACGCGTGTTTCATCCTTTTGCCCCACTCACGGCATCGCTTCTCAAGAACGAGCGCTCGCGCTGAGCGTGCTCGAGTGTTGGCCTGACTGCTTGGCAACTCAGTTGTCGCTAGCAACAAGAGTTTTACAGTATCTCCAAAAAGGACAGTGCAGCTTTACCTCAACAAAGGACATGCAGGGCAGGACGATGCAACATGTCATTGAGACTGAGACCTTATTCGCCCAACTGTGCCCAATGGAAAGTTAGTACGGTAGTATTGCAGGCAACTCTGATCTGAAATGTGTTGCGGTGAATGGGCAAATGCCATCTGTGTGTCTGTGTGAAGTTAAAACGAAAAGTGTTAGTGTCATATTCATTTGCTTGGTTCGACGTTTCTAGTATCGCAGTTTGAGGTACATGCATATCATAACACATACCGTGCCCTTCAACCAACGCAATGCATGCTGTTCTGACCAGCTCACATTAGGATACATTAGGTCTAATCATTAGGTGCATTGTTTGGCGAAATCAATATTGTTGTTATAGTTATAATGAAGATGCTCCCTGAGCAAATTGAGCAAACATTCATTCCGTGTTTCCTCCATTCCCTGCGCCTGAACCTCTGCAGCCGAAGGTTTGAGTGGGTCCTGCACCTGATCAGAAACCCCCATTGGACAACACAAGTGTTCCAGGCAAACCTGCGTCCTGGGCAACCAATCGAGAAACACCATCTGTATAACCAACTCGCCTTCTCTGTCACTACTGATTTTTATCTGCAAAACCCTAGCCGCCTCTCGCACGCACCAAGGCTGCTCCTCGCACATTTGTTCGAAGCTGTCTCTTGCGCAAGACACCCATGAAGAACAGAGTGCGAGCGTGAATCACGCAATCCCATGTACATTTTGACTGTATCGCCCCCTTAGTCACGACGATGCCCGGACTCTGACACCCTGGAATATCTCAAAGCTGAAATAGAGCGAACATGAGAAACAACCGCCATGAAGGCGCTCAGCAAGTTCAGGAAAAGATCATACGGTGGAAGGAATTCAGGAAAACACATCCTCACCCAAGCAAAGGTTTCAATGTAAAACCCCAGGCACGCTATGCGTGCAAAGATCCAGTGGAATGAAAAATGTGACAAATTCAAGTCACACAGGTCCTGAAAAATTACTAAATAGTATTATATAAATAGTGAACGTGAAGAGCGGACAGTGATGTGCAGAAACCCCTTAGCCAGCCTGCGCGCGTGAGGGCCCCTTAGCAAGTCTTCTTACATGGTTTGCTCGAGGAAAAGGAAGCTGGCCTCTTGAGTTCCAAACCAGAAAACACGGAGGTCACACCGCAACGATTGATCAAGCGCACAGACGTCAAAATTGGGCCAAGGAGTTTCACACACTTGGGTGTTCAGGACACGCAGGTGTCTAAAATAGAAAGTCTTTCACAACCGCCGCAGCAGTGGCGCCAGTGTCAAGACCAAACTGGGTGGAGAAACCATTGAACTCCGGAGCCACGTCCAACATTTCATGGGCAGAAGTGAAAGCCGCATCCAAAGTGGCAACCGAAATGAAAGCCGAAGGTCTCAGGCGAGAACTCGTTCAACTCTTGCACGTAGGTCAACGGCACGGCAGCGTACAAATGCTCTGCAACCGCCCCGCTACACACTGACAAGCAAACGTTGCAGGTAGTAAGCACACCTGCAATAGAAAAAAATCAAAAAAACATGTTTAGTCAGCAACTGCCACTAGTAATAGGTTGCCAGAGGACCCAGATCCAGCCCATCAAAATGATTATATTGGCACGACGTTGGTGTGTGATGACGTAACAATGGAAAACATACACCTTTTTCTGAAACTTTGTCAGGAGCACGATGCTTTGCGAACATTTAATGGTCTTACATTGGACTGGACATGGTCAGTACTCAATATGTTAGTACATGGTCAGTACTCAATATGTTAGTACTATGTCTTACGACTTTGATGTCCACAGTCGCATCACGCACGCTCCCTACCGCCATTCAGTGGCAATTGGTTTTTTGGCAACAGCAGTAGCCTGCCTAAATCGCATTCAGTGATGATGGTTTGGCAAAAGCCAAGGTAGCACAGCATAAGCTGTTGGCAAAAGAACTGGTAGTGGAGCCGTCCTGAAAGAGAATGCTGGATGCAAAAGGGACGCCCGGTTGCCAGGCAACAGCCTTTCAAATGGATAGTCCAACAGCCCTGCACTGGCCTGGGCCCATGCTGCAAGAGGACTAGACATGATGCAAGAGATCGTTCCAAGTAAGTTCTTGATACCAGGCAGGGGAGGGGCTGTCGTCCTCTTCCTCAAGCTCCGATCGAGGTGTGAAACGTTCAGCTGAAAAACGACGTCGAGTCGTCTCCGTCTGAAGAAGATGTTGGGAAGAAACCAACTCCAGCAGATTTCGATCCCTCACTGTGCGTCCAGAGTGGTGATGCTTTTGCTCGCGACAAAGTAGCCACTTGTTCTGTTGAATTGCTGATGATAGAACATTTTGAGCATCAGGGTGAAAGCCTGTCACACGAAGAGAAATTGGAACTTGTGCGCGTGTTTCGGCAAGGTGCCTCACATGAAGCCTTGGTTGCAGCTCATATGAAAATAAAATCATCCAAAGAGATTCCTGCAGTAGGTAATCCCCTGATATACATCTGAAAGTCAAAGTTGATGAAGCAGAAATGCTTAGAATGAGGTACTGTATCTTCGAAGCGTGCAGCCAGTGCCAGAGCTGTCATTGGCCCGGAGGCCGACGAGGTTCGCAAACACATGAGCCACAGGATCAAGGGTAGCCGTTTCGCGCCGACGGTCAAACAAGATGACCAGGCTCCCCGGATGAAAGCTCGTTGGTGCTTGCTGGGCCACTTGCACCCTGACTTGACAGATTCCCAAGTCCGATTTTGTCTCAGGTAGGTCGCGACTTGATTTTCCAGCTAAATGCTAGCCATTGTTGGCAAATGGCATTGAGGGGACATCAAAGGAGCATTCCTGTCCGCTCACTTGCCAAAGAGATACCAAGCACTGTATACTAGCCTGCCCAAGGGAGAAATCCCCTTCCGCAGCCATGACTGACGGGTCAAAGCGACTTGGTGGGAATGATGAAGCTGCCAAGATGACGCCCTGTGCAGCCGCCGCCTTCAGATCAGAGTTGCTGCCTCCACCGATGCCCATGTCTTCAGCTGGTGACAAGACACCTGTCTTGGCTCCGCGCATCGCTCTTCCACATGGAGTTCCCTCATTTGAGCGTTGGGGCCAGACCGTTGTGTCGTTGGGTAAGTTCAAGGGTGCCAAGACCTATGCTGAGCTGGCAGAGAATGCCGATCCTGACATTAGTTCTTACAAGACCTATATATTGCCACAGCCATTTCAAGACCGACTCCCCGCCTCTGCGTGACTTGGTGAACTCGAGGCTGATTCCAGGAAGCCATCTCACGAGAGTGTACAAAGAAAAGTAGTTTATAGGAGTGTTGATTGCCAACCGCGCTTCCAGAAACATTCATGCCCGAGTTGAGGACCGCTTGGAATGCGGTTCTCAGCGGTGGAGTGAGCTCTCTCTTTTAGACCATCGGCCCAGGAGGAAAACAGAACTCAAGACCATGCAGAAAAGGGCGCAAAGTGCAATGCCAAGAACATTAGCGTCTTCCTTCTTTTCCATTCCAAATTCAATTCCGTAGGCCAGCTGGGGCACCAAAAAGATCAACCACAACCAACAAATGACGTTCTTCAGGCGACAGATGTAGACCTTCTTGCGGCAGCGGTCGACATGGCAGGACCTACGGAAGACATAGGTCAACTGGTCATTGGTCTTTGCCATCAGGACATTCGGAGTGGCCTGCTCATACCAAGACACCGGCTCATCCATTTCAATCTCCATCTTGGCAGACTTGTAGTCGGCCCCAGAAAGCTCTGACCATTCATTCACTGCAGTGGGGGAAGCTGGTACTTGAACATGATCATGAACGCTTTCCATTCGGCTTTGAAGCAGCTCTTCTTTGGTTTTCTTCTTGGCTGCTTTGTAGGTTGGGTCCCAAACCAACTTAAGGCGGCCATGGCGAAGACGTTGAGCTAGCAACAAGCGAGCTGACTCCTTGGTGAGGCCGTCGGCAAACTCCCGCTCCGATGACATCCACCTCAGAATGCCGTTAAGGCTGTCAGCCTGTCCTTCATGACCTTGATCTCCAGGGAGACTCTTTTGTCCACCACCGAGCTTGACACTCCTTCTCTGTGGTAGGAGTCGAACAAAGCTTTAGCATCTGAAACCATCACCGGCGCCAGCAATGATGGAGCGTCCAGTGTCTGTTTTGCACTTACTTCGCAGAGCAGGCCTGACACGGGAACAGCGCCAAATGGTGAAAGCCCCGACCGTTGAGAAACGGAATGTCATCGAAGCCCTCTACCTCCTCTATGGTCAAGACTATAAAGCGGGAGGATGGAATCATGAACGAGATCGCAAGCTGTCCCGCTGGAAAGGCAGAGGCTACGCCGCCTTCGATGAGGATGATGGACAATGGCCTGTTGAGGCATCTTGGAACGATGAAGGTGCCTACTATGAGGCCGATGAATGGGCTGTCGAAGACTACATGCCTGACGAAGAGGACGCCTTTGACTATGACGCAGGGTACTTATGGTGAAAAAGAGAGTATGGCGAACCATCTGAGGAACCTCATGAACTCGCTGAACAGTATGATCATGCCTGTGCGACCTACCTGGACGCCCGGCAGAGGTTCCAACAGTTGAAATTGGCTCGAGGCTACCTCCCTGTCGTCACCTTGACTGATGGCAATGCAGCTTCTCCAGTCGCTGCAGGCTCCTCCTCTGCAAAAGGAAAAGATCGCAGTTCTTCAAAGGGAAAACGAAAATCCAAGACCAAGCACAAGGGCTATGGCAAGAACGTTGCGCGCTACCCTTCTGGTGGTGGCAAAGCCGCTGATCCCAAGGGCCGAGCTCAGGCCACGACCTGCCTTCGCTGCGGCCAACCTGGTCATTGGGCTGCACAATGCCCGCAATCAGCTCGTTCCTCCTCATCTCCCAACAAGAGATCGGCTCCTTCGACTCCAACTGAAGGAATGGCAGTGCACGCCGAGAAGGCCTTAGTGTTGTTTCAAGATGAACACGGCGAAGAACGCCCTGATGCCACGATGTTGGACCCTGGGGCATCGGCTTTTCTCAGCGGCTACGGACCGTTCAAGCGCTACCTGGACCATTTGAGTTCCTTCATTGGGCTATCCGGTCAACATCATCCGGTTCGCCCGCTGTGACAGACAGTTCCACTTTGGTGGCGACGCTTCCTCTCAAGCTCGCTGGACGGTGGATCTTCCAGTGATGTTGGACGACCGCATCGGCGCCATCCAATGCTACTTGGTTCCGGGCAACACGCCCATGTTGATGGGGAGACCAGTGATCGAGGCTCTCCAGATGGGTATCGACTTCAGTCAGAAGCAGATTCGCTTCGGCAACTCCTGGTCGGCAAGCATGGTGAGTACCTACTCAGTCTCACCAATGGCATGGAGCACGCGCCTGATCCAACCAAGTCGCTGTTCGCACTGCAGATTGCTGAAGAGGTTCCTGGCAGTCATCTGCACTTGAGCGACTTCAATGACTTGGAGCACATCTTCACTGTGAATGACCAGATCCTTGCCGGCAATGGTCTGGAGCTACCTCTACTGCGCCGACATGCCCTTCGAACCATGGAAGTACAGCTGTCCACTTCAGTGAATGCCACCGAGGCCTACATCACCAGTGAACTACATCCAACCTCAACAGCAAATCAGAGAGTGCTGTGGGAGGTCTATTGCGGCAAAGCCCAAACTGGCCACATCGCTGAGGATGGGCATGAAGGTGGAACGCTTCTCATTAGAGACTGGCTGGGACTTCAACCTGAAGAATCACCAAGCGCAGTTTCTGCAGCGCTTGGATGCTGAAGAGCCTGATGAAGTTCTACTTGCCCCTGAATGCAAAGTTTGGTCTCGCATGCAAACTTTGGCACGCAGGACGCCTGCTCAGCAAGAAGCTCTTGTGGCTCGCCGTGAACACCATCATCGACGACATCTCACCTTCGGCAAGCGAGTGTTCCTCAGACAGGTCAGTCACGGCCGCCATGCACATCTTGAGCAACCACGTCACACACTCAGCTGGCGCACGCAAGCTCTGAAATCGCTCCCTGGCTTCAATGCCGACTTTGACCAACGCCGCTATGGGGCTATGTGCATGGATGTTGATGGACAATGGAGGCCAGTGCAGAAGAGCATAATGTTGACCACCAAGAAGTCCGTCCTGGCAGCCCTGCACTTGAAGTGTGAGCATGACCACCAACACTGCCCACTTGAAGGAGCTGCTCCCGGCTATGGCCCTCGCGCGACCTACCTCGAGGACTACCAGCCCGCCTTTGCTGCCACCTTGGCTGCAGCGATTGCCCAGCCGGAGCCCGCTCAGTTATGGGATTCTGCATTTGTGGTTGACGCCTCCGAGAAGAAGGCCACCGGCCACCTTTCTGAAGCTGCAGTAGGAGCATCGACAAGACGCCCTTCGGACAGTCCAACGACTGCATCGCAACTTGGGCCATCCTGCACCACAAGCCTTGGCTGATTTGTTGATGGCTCGTGGAGCTCACCCTTCCGTTGTGTCAGCCGCCAAAGAGTACAAATGCGTTGCTTGCCTCAAGCACAAGAAGCCGAATCAGGTGGCTCCTTCTTCAATGCCACAGCAATGAAGTTTCAATGAGGCCATTCAAGCGGATGTCTTCTACCTCAAGCCTGCCGACCGAAAGTATGCAGTTCTCAGCATTGTCGATGTTGGCACCAAGTTCATGGCTGCCTGCTGTGCCCCAGAAGAAACGTCCGACTCCTACATCAAGGCCTTGGAGAAGACATGGGTCCGGCATTTCGGACCGCCACGGATCCTCATCACCGATGAAGGCGGCCCCTGGCTCGGAGGACCATTTGAGAGCTGGACCAGTGCACTCGGCATTGATCATCAGGCGGCACCTGGAGAAGCTCATGAAAGACTGGCTCTAGTTGAAAGACGACATGCAGTCATCAGAAGAGCCTGCGAGGTCTACATGACCGACCGCAAAGCTGACCGACCGCCACGGCATCGACCGACCACCACGGCATCAAAGAGTCCCTGAACTATGTCATCCCGCAACAAAACGCCACTCCAGTGGCCGGGTTCACTCCAAGTCAATGGGCGCTTGGCTATCAGCCAGAGCTGTCTCATCTCCTTGACTCCAACCTCAATGCTGCTCAGCTCGCCGGCAACAACAACTCCTTCGAGCAGAACCTGGAGCGCCGGACAGCCGCCAAACTGGCATTGACCAGTGCTGACGCCGACTCAAAGCTTCGTCGAGCACTGAGCAGAAAGTACCAAGGACAGAATCGTGTTGTTCGACTTGGTGAACGTGTTTGGTTCTGGAGGGATGCCCGACAAGGAGCTTTGAACAAGATCCGCTGGCTTGGCCCTGCACATGTTGTGCTTCGTGAAGAGGATCCTGCCGCTTTCACTGACGCCGCCAAGATCAAGACCTACTGGTTGGCCTATAAGAGTCAGTTGGTTCGTGCTGCACCTCACCACGTCCGCGGCGACATCCTTGGTCCTCAACATGTTCTGGACGACATGCAAGCTGCCTTGAACACCGTCAGACAGCTCAAGTCACGCGGAGTCACCCGCTACTATGATCTTCGAAGGGCCAACCGCCAACAGTTGGGCGATGTTGAGGAGGATGAACAGCAAGATGATCCTGATGGCCCTCTTCATGATGAAGCTGATGAACCACCGCGCCACCGACTACGACTAGAGATCCCTGAGAACACTGGCTCAGGCGCCAATCCTGAAGAGCCACTGGCACCGACCATTGAGGTCGAGGAGTACACTCCAACGTCACCAGCAAGCACACTCTGGATATGCACCGACATCTCCATTGGCAGCACCGCCGCCTTTGCCAGAACCTCCGGATGCACGAGCAACGCCGCCACTGATGACACCATTGTCGCCAGGCGCTGCCACAGATCACGGTCTAGAGCACCGACCATAGCTGAACCAAGTGAAGAACCCGCGATTCCCTCGGGACGCCAGTCACCTTTGGCAGAAACGACACCTGTGACCCCGGCTCCAATTCCAAGACCAACCTTGGACCCAGACACGGCATCTCTGTACGAGACAGTTGATGCTGAAACCTTCAGCCAAAGAAGAGCCCGATTCAACAGACAGGAAACACTGAGCTTCCGCCCAGTTCGACATCAGCGAACACAAGGTCCACGACCCTATGACCCTGAGCCGCCTCACATGACTGAAACACCATCTCCAGGGAGGAATCCCAATCATGTGGCAGGCCAAGTCACCAAGCAGTACTGTCAATCAGATGACATCGACATCCCTGAGCCCTATGTGATTGATGTGCCAGTGAGGGTGAGGACCCCAGATGACTGGGCTCTGGGCGCCAGGCAAGTAGGCATTTTCTTGCCACATGAGTGGTGGGCCTGGATGAGTGACAAAGAGGCTGTCTCTGGCTTGAGTGGGCTTGCAGACTTTTGGGAGGGACAAGATCTTTCAGATCCCAAAACTTGAAGGGAATCCACTGATGACAGAGGATTACAAAACATTTTGCCCCATTGTGATCCATGGGGATGGGGGGGCATTCCAAAGATCAGACTCTATTGAAGTGATCTCTATGCGATCTTTATTGAGTTCTTCCAATGTCTCCACAAGTCAGCTGCTGCTTGCAGCAGTCCCCAAAAGCTGCATCAGCAAAAGTGACAAGGACTCAGAAGACACTATGAGATGTTTGTGGGAGGTCTTGGCATGGTCCTTCACCCACATATACTATGGAAAATGGCCTGAATTTGATCATGCTGGCAGGGCTTGGCCACAGAAATCAATGAGGAAGGCCAGAGCAGGATCACCACTCAACCCTGATGGCTATTCTGGCGTTATTTGGTCCATCACAGCTGACGGTGAATACACGCAGAACTCATTCTTTCTGCCAGGTCACAGTTTCAATGATTGCTGCTGGTCTTGCCAAGCAAACAAGAGTGACAGACCACACAATGACTATCGCGCAAATGCAAAATGGCGAGCTACTGTAGTAAGCCATTGTGGCACCAGCCCCACTTCACATCTTGTGACCACCATCCCAGGTGTGGTGGGGAACACATTTGCATATGATTGTCTACACATTCTTGAGGAGGGTGTGGCATCACACATCCTTGCAAATTGCATGTTTGACTTTGGGGTCAAGGGGCCATCCTCGCAGGATCAGAACTTGAAGAATCTTTGGAAGAAGCTTTGCCAGCAATATCTTGAACAGGGGATTTCCTCCAGCAACCAGGTGAGGAAATTGACTATGTCCAGCTTTTGCAACCCCAAATCCAAGCAGGACAGTTTTCCTGTGATGTCAGGTGTCAAGGCAAGGCGCATGAGGTACTTAGTGCCCTGCATCTTAGAGATTGTGAGGGAGATGGAGAAGCCTGATGATCCATATAGCAGGCACAGGGTCTGTGTGGTTGACAATTTGGAAAGGATGTATTTGGCAATGGAGAGCTGTCACATCCACATGACAAGCAAGGCCTCACAACAATTGTTGAAATGCACAAGCAGCTGCCTCTTGCACTATGTGAAACTTGCAAATTTGTCCATAGCTTCAGGCTCTTTGCAGTGGTCGACAGTGCACAAACACCATTTAGCCTGTCATCTGGCAGAGCAAGGCAGGTGGATGAATCCAAGGTTTCAAACCACATATTCTGGTGAGACTATGGTGGGGATGATGAGTTCCTTGGCACATTGCTGCCTGAATGGGACAGCACCTCACCAAGTCCCTCTCAAAGTTGCTCTTCGATTCAGGTTGTCAATGCATTTGAAGTTCATGGGCAGTATGGAACTGCTTGATTCTGCTGAGGAATCATGAAGTGGTTGAGCTGGGCTTGGACCTGCAAAAGGGCCAAAAGTTTAGCCTTGAAAACAGGCCACAAACCTTGGCCCTGCAAAAGGGCTACAAAATCTTGCCAAAGAGCAGGCAAACACAGGAGAAAAGATGAGACATTTGCAGCTTGCTGGGATGAGACATTTTTCAACTGACCAAACTTTTCAACCAACAAAAGCCCTTATTGGTTCATATTTTAAAACAATAAAAACCCTTATTGGTTTAAATCATAAACCAATAAGATCTTATTGCGTTGTTTCAATAAGCCAGTAAGAAGTCTGTTTCAATAACAGTGATCAAACTATTGAAATGGCATTGCTTTATTGAAATGATGGTTCCTTATTGAATCTTTTCAATAAGGCGTACTCTGGGTTGGTGAAGTCGCAAAGGATGCGGGAGCCCCAGACTGGGGCTCCGCTACCAATGTCAAACTTGTAGGGCTCGGCGCACGAGGTCCGAGACAAAGTGCAAACGATGGGGCGGAATCCCACCCCGCGGCCGCTCACCTTTTACAGGCGATGCCCACCCATCTTGAGTGGATCGAGTTGCGGAACAAAAGAACTGGCTCGACCATGCTTCAACTCAAGTGCTCAGCGTGCACTTTACACATGGAAATAAGCCTCAAGCCATCCTGAGCCCGCTTCCTGAAAGCTGCGCTGCAGCAACGGGTAGAGGGCAACAAGCCGGTCCTGGCTGTTTCTGAAAACATCCAGAACCGCTCTCCTCAAGCAGAAAAGCAAGCAGTTCACAGCGTTTCAAAAGTATCGTGCCAGGATTGCAAATGTGACCTAAAGACCTACATTTAGCCTGTCAATTAGCCATGTTTGCCATCTTTTCAGCGCACGCCTCCGGCAAACCTTCTGCCACCTCTGCCTTGCAGTCCTGGTGCAAGGAGGTTGCCCAGAATCTCACACTTTCAAGAGGAGGACGACAAGAACATTGAAGGGCAATTTGAAAAGCGGCCTTGCCGCGCCGACGAGCGAATTAAGTCCAGGCTTCTCTTCGTCCCAGCGCAGCAACACCTCAAAAATCCTGGATCTTGACGAACCCTTCCAGATTTCCTCATTCTGTCGCAACCAACTCCTCACTGCAGCTACCTCGAGGAGGCGGGATCCTTCTCTCCCTCTGAAATGTTTACAAAAACTTTACAAGTCCTTTCTGAAACATTGCCTACCGAATCTGCACCTCAGCACCCTTAAAGCACACGATCACTGCCTTGGTCTGAAGTCTGAATAACATCTGAGACTTAATGCCTAGGAGACTTACAGTAAGTCCAAACAAAGCAAGACAGGTCATTGAATAACTCTTGAGCCAACTTGGGATACCTGTTCCAGTTGGTTCTCTCGTCTTCAAGCTCAAGTTACAGTAGGCTTCAGACGCGCCCCCCAGGCATCAGCAATTGGAAGGCGGCACCTAGTAGCTTCTCCAACCTTCAGGGTTTGCCATTGCACTCTTGATCTGGAAACCCTTTGTCTAAAAGCAGAGGCTCCTGTGTTCAGGCTTCGATCATACGCAAAGGATATCTCGCTTCCAGACACCAAACTCCGAAACCCTTATTGCAACCTCCCACTTGCATATCTCTCCAAGACTCTGCAGAAAAGGGCCCTATACCATCTCATGAAACCTTGCCAACCTTGTGCCCACATCAATGACTCACACAGGTCCCCTGCTCTTGCAGCTCCTGATTGAGGTGTGAGCGGATCGCCTGCGAATGAATGGCCACATATCGCATGCATGGACTTGAGCGCTGAATGGTACAAGTTAGCCACACCAAGAAGAGGTGTGCAGGTCCGACATCGAGCCTGAAAGACCAGCCTCGCTGGCTGCTGGAAAGGGCTGCTACCCACGGTCTTCGCCTTCACGTCAGCAACCACCTCACCATATCTTGGACTTTTGGGGCGATACTGCAGGCAAATGCTGTGAGAAAAGCGCATACAACACTGGATCATGGTCCTACATTCTGGAAAAATGCCAGGGCTAGCAACACTGGCTTAGGTTCGTGTGAAGAGCGCGCCTCCGCCAGTTCAATGGTTCGCTGCAATGGACGCTTGGCACAAATGGCCTGGCTCAAAAGCACAGACCGGCGTGACCAGTCAGTGACCAGTTACAAAGACAGGTATTGAGCAGCCTGAAGGTAGCCCTGCCTCTGCTAAACGTGCTGCAAGAAAGGGGTCCCGGTCCTGCCCGGCTTGTGACACGTTGCCAAATCCATGAGTTCTGAATGACTTTGAGTTAGAATGGAAACCCAGGGAGTCGAGTTTGTGAAATTTCGCCGTATGTACCACCACAAGGCTGGCACATCGGTCTCGCAGCATCCTCTCCATAGCTGCAGAGAACCCAAGCCAGTTCTTCCGGCGTCCTCAAGTTGCAAATCAACCATGTGACTTGTGACCACAGAAATCATCTATATGGTTCTATATCTATACCCTTCAAGAATGGCCCTGTCTGTTTTGATTTAGAAAAATGTTTCTACAGTCGTAGTTGGCCCAGCATAGCCGTTACATATGTTCCAGCTTGGTCCATCCCTTCGAGGCGTCTATACAAAAATCGATGTAAGAGGTCGATTCTGCGAAGATTGTAAAGCCTGGATCGATACCGTAGATGTCTAGGAACCATCTTGAACCTGCCTCCCCTGTCCGGGGGAACGCGATTGAAAAGCATACCTTGAAGCTTCGGTTTCATTTAGAAATCGGTTCAATGCGCTGATCTAGAAAATACAACAGGTGCTTCGGCAGCGCTTCATAGAATTCATTCAGAACTGTTCATCGCTTTTGGACTATGTCAAACGCTCTCAGCCACATTGACATTTGAACATACTAATCTCGCACGCAACCTTCAACATCCCTTGCTGAGTTGGTGCCACGGAATGGACCAAAAGGGTCGAAAGAGACCAAAGGGTGAGAAAGAGCGAGAGAGCTCGAGAAAGAAAGAAAGGGTAATCGAGTGGTGTGGAAAGTCACACAAGGCCCGCGGTTCGGCATGGGGCGTGTCACCTAGGTATCCGCTTCTCGTCCGATGGACCCTTTGTGATAATCTTTGCGTCAATTGACACCTTTTGTCGTCGTTATGAATCGCGGGAGCGGAGGGCCGACTGACTACTTTTGGGGACCACGACGGCGAACCACGAATGGTCTTGTGACAAAGAGTTCCTTGCTCAGTCCAATTTACTATCACTTTGCTGCCAATCGGTAAAGCAGAGGACATCTCCAAGTCGGAGAATCAACGACAAACTTTTTCATGAAATCATCGGCCCGAAAATGGTCTGAGCTTATTGGAGCAGTGTTGCAGAGCCTGATGTGTCTTTCTTTAAAGAAATGATTCCTGCACGACTTAGGATGCATAAAATGCACACTGATGCTTGCAGATCTAACACATAGTCTGTAAGTAAATCCAGCTTTGCTGGGCGCCAAACACGTTGTCCAGCCATTCGGAAGCGGGGATACCCTTGCGTGGATTCCTTGGCTCACAGAGTCCTAAAATTCTACTGTAACTGAATCTTTGGGGTATCCCTGACTGGGTGATCAGCAACAAACCAAAAACTTGAGCTTCAGCTGTTTTAGCTCGCAATTCATCATTCACGCGCATGATCGTGATGGCACAGCAAATCTGCGCTGTCTAAATGCGGCAAACGCTGTTTTCGTGCTCCAGCGAAAAGAGCCCGGCACCAAGCTAGGTTCTAAAGCTTCAGCTGCTTATTGTGGCAATTAAGCCATATATATATATGTATATACACATATAGGTATACATATGAACTCACAGTCCCTACTGTCTACGATGCTCCGCAATATGCCACAAAAAGTTAAACATAGTTAAACAACTTTAAACAAGGAACAAACTTCCACACCCGCTCTTTCACCAGAAGCGATTTCTTTCAAAACCAAAAGCCTGCCCAAGGCTTTGTAGGGAGACCGCCCTGGGCAAGGCCGCAAAAAGGGCTCCTTCCACATCCCTTTTCTGCCCTTACCCGTGCTCAAGTGGAGTGGCACAGATTGGTTGTGAACATGCGAACAAAAGGCGCCATCACAGCCATGTCCTCGTTTATCAAAATTTTGGTGTTTTTGGGCTGCTTGCCACCGCCCAGCTTCTCAAAAGAGCAACGAGTGGCAAACCAAAATGGCGAGTTCAACAGTGACAGTGACAAACTCAAAGGATCCTACCCGCTTGCCACTTGTAGCCAGGCCCAAACGAAGGACTGCTGACGATTTTGCTGACTTCATGAGAAAGTGGTTATTCCTTAGTGAGTTCACCCCTCCTCAACATGGATCCTGAATCCACGTCCGGTTTTACATGTTACAAAGAGTAGGTGTAATGAAGTTCAAAACCAACAACCATGCATTTCGTTTATTTAAAGGACCATGTTCTAGCTACATGTTGTAATTTGTGAACCTGCCGCCACCCTCTGGTCACTCCAGGCGTGACATCAGCTCAAGCCACAACACTGCTGTGATGAGTTTGGGTCTGTCTCGTTAGAACCATGTAGAACCGGGACGTAACCCATAATGTAACATATATCCTTCTTTGCGTCTCTTTGCCTTGCGTTCCTCTTCGGTCGAGCTGATTTCTGAGGTATTCAAGCGTCCAAGACCGACGAGCTGCTGAAAATTTGCTCAAAGTACACCGGTATACTCCCCTTTCGACCCAGGAGAATTGCACCAACCTATGGTTGGACAAGGCATCTGGCCAATCTACAGGTGAGCGGCATGCGCATGTCCAAAGGCCCATCTTCAATAGGCGAGAAGCCACGATGCTTTTGATCCTCAGCAGAACACCAAGCAACTTACAGATTTGAATGGCCAGAGGTCCTTCCCACCACAAAAGTGGAGATGAGGCATGGCTGCAATCACAACTCCCCAAAAGGATACTTCCTTGTGTATAGCCATGGCGCCTTCAGGGTTCATTGGAAGATATGTGCAATACGGGGTGTAGGAGTGGTCAGAATGGGACACGCAGCAGCGAGAAGCAACCATTCACCTTCTGTCTGGGAAACCGCCTGTCCACAACAGGATGGAAAAAATAATAATCATGGACAATCAAAGACTGCGTGGAAAATATTCAAATGGGCCAAATGATTGCTTTGGATTTGGATTTAGATGTTGTCTGATTGATGGTTTTTGAAGTCTATGTCTGTGTGAAACCCTTGGAGTCACAGGGTTTCTTTGGAATTGGTTCTTGGTTTCATGTTTTTGGTGACACGGATTTTCGCAACCGTGGAGGCGTTCACTTTTTCGCTGGTTCTTGTACATGTAAACGACATGTCTATGTAGTTGGGTTGGGGTGGGGTGGGGTGGGGTGGGGTGGGGTGCAATGGGGCATGTTAACATTCATGTGCACTTGCGTGGGACGTTGATGCTATGGGTTATGTAAACGTTCATGTGAACTGGGGCGGGGTGGGGTGGGATGGGGCATGCTAACGTTCACGTTAACTTGCGTGAGACGTTGATGCTACGGCTTAAATTCATGTTAACTGGGGTGGGGTGGGGTGGGGTGGGGTGGGGTGGGGTGGGACATGTTAACGTTCATGTGCACTTGCGTGGGACGTTGGTGCTATGGGCTATGTTAACGTTCGTGTCAACTGGGGTGGGGTGGGGCATGTTAACGTTCATGTGCACTGGCGTGGGACGTTGATGCTATGGGTTACGTTATGGTTCATGGTCACTGGGGTGGAGCGGGGCGGGGCGTGTGAACGTTCCTGTGAACTTGCGTGGGACGTTGATGATATGGGTTACGTTAACGTTCTTCACGTGTGGGGTGGGATGGGGCATGTTAACGTACCCAAAACGCAGGCGATTTGCTCACCCACGCTTGCGAAAAGCCGCGTTACCATGTTTTTACCGCATCAGGGGCACTGAGCACTCCTTGGCAAACTCAGTGCAACGAAGCTGTGCCTTGGAGTGGGAAGCACGGATTGATCACCCGTGTGTACCTGCATTTTAACCGATGAACCTACGTGTGGCCAAAGCTGTCTCATGTTTTGCTTTGCAGTATTCGTCTAGTGCTGTAAAGGGCTAGCGCATTGCCGATTCTCTTTCTGAACCTTCGTGGTTGGTTGGACTCCACTCCATTCCTTTGAGGGTTTGAGGACTTCAGATTCTTGGTTACTCTGTCTTCTTACGGTTTTATACTTAGGCTGGCGTGCGGCAAACCGCAATCGTGTCAGTACGCAATATCTCGAGTGTGTCTGGCCTTCGAGCCAGCCCAGGGTGTACCCGAGGAGTGTCCCCTGTGGCCTTGCTAAGCAAAGGTTTGTCTATGTTTCCATTGCTCGGAAACGGAATAGCTCGCGGCGAACGTAAGAGGCTTAAGCCAAAGTTATTTGCCAAGACTTGACGGATGATTGAATTTGAGTAGTAGGCAGCTTTCGAGCAAGCCATTAGGTGACCGTAGCGGTCCAAGCAGCCCGCCAATGGCACAAGGTGACCACAGTGGTCAAAGCGTCTTTGAGGTACATTGGGGCCTGCTGAGGTCTACCTAGGTCGCTTTAATGAGGTCTGGCTTCATTGGTTTCCAGCCCCTCCATTTGGTTCCCTTCGTCCTTTCCCCTCCACGCACACTTTCTTTCCTTCTTGTGTTTCATGTCTTTCCCGGCTTCATGTCCTGTCATTTCACTCCATTTTTCTCTTGCGCACACATCTCTCCGGCCCGTAGTTTCCACAGGCACAGCTACTTTTAATCCAAGTTCAGCTTCTGATAATGAGGTACGGTTCGCCTTTTGCCCCTGTACATTTGGTTTCCCTTCATCACAATCACACACTTAGTCACAGTATCAGAACCCACGGTGAAATGGATGTGGGAACGGAAAGGCGCAAAATCAGCTCAACTGAAATGTTCAACAATGTTGCAGAAATTCCGGAGTGGCTTCAGCGCCGGTTGCGGGGATCACACTACGCACCCGAGCGGGAAAGCGTAGCAGTTCACACTTCGGCAAGGTTTCATTCAGTGAGATAGTCCCCAAGCGCAAATCACTTGACTGTGAAAGGAATGCAGGAACCGCAAGAGTGCTGAGTCGGTCAATTTGGAGATGTTTCAAAAATGTTCGACACAGTCCGCAGCGAAGCGGTGGCAGCGATCAGCGCGGCTGCAAGATTCAGTGGAACTGGTTTAGAGGAAAGGTAGCACGAATCACCATGAAAGCAAAGAACAGCGCCGGAAGATTGGAGTGTTGTCACAAAAGCAGGTGCGTCCAGAAGGCGTCCCTTCTGGATATCACGACCAGACTATCACTGACTTCGTTGGGCAGTGAGTGATAGTGGTCCGCTGCCCCCTGCATGCATTGTAATCTGACGGAGTCCCTTAGGTACAGGGTGGGACACACACACACATTGTCCTGTCTCGTCCTCCTTTTCATGTCTTCATCTCTTCGTCCATGCTGCGTGCACATACGCACATTTGTTTGTTACTTAGAAACGACTTGGCCTCCCTAATCGGGAGGCGTGTGTGTGAAACCCTTGAAGTCACAGGGGTTCTTTTGAATTGGTTCTTGGTTTCATGGTTGTACCGCAGCAGGGGCACTGAGCACTCCTTGGCAAACTCAGTGCAACGAAGCTATGCCTTGGAGTGGGAAGCACGGATTGATCACCCGTGTGTACCTGCATTTTAACCGATGAACCTACGTGTGGCCAAAGCTGTCTCATTCTTTGCTTTGCAGTAATCGTCTAGTGCTGTAAAGGGCTAGCGCATTGCCGATTCTCTTTCTGAACCTTCGTGGTTGGACTCCACTCCATTCCTTTGAGGATTTGAGGACTTCAGATTCTTGGTTACCCTGTCTTCCTAGGTTTTTATACTTAGGCTGGCGTGTGGCAAACCGCAATCGTGTCAGTACGCAATATCTCGAGTGTGTGTGTGTAACCCTTGGAATCACAGGGATCCTTTCGGATTGTTTTTGATTTAGTTTCTTCATTTTGTAGCAGGGGGACTGTCTACCCCACAGAAGTGACAGTCCAACGAAGAGGCTTCTGTGGCGGTACTGATATCACTGGAGACGTCCAGTGACGTACCTGCGTTTTACTTGAGAAATTTCATCGTGGGCCCTGCTTGTAACTAGAACAAGAAATCCAGCCTTTGCACCGGTTTGCTCTCGGCAGTCACGCATAGGGCTTTGGTTTTTGACCTGCAGATGTGAGCGGACGACGTCATTCTGTCGGTCGATCGTTCGATGGCTCCTTTAGATTAGATGGCCACGCTGAACTTGATGGACCTCCACTTCCTTTTCAGGTTTCCTTACCTGTACCCTTAGGAATTGGAACCCTAGGCCGGCGTGTGGCACCGCTTTCAGTTCAGTACACCCTATCCTAAGTGTGCTTGGCCTCGCGCCAACCCGGGATGAGCCCGCAGAGTGCCTCCCGTGGACCCGTTGAACGGGGGTTTGTCCATGTTCCCCCGGCTCTGGGAACGCAGATGTCCACAGCGGACAGTAGATGGCTTATGCCTCAAGAAGTGGGATGTTTGTCTCATCTTTGGAATTCCAAGTTGGCTCATGCCTTTACGTGACCGCAGCGGTCAAAACAGCCAGCCACCTTGGCAGGGCACAAGGTGACCACAGCGGTCAAAGCATCTCCTGGGTCCGTTGGGACCCGTCGCCACCTCAGGTGCACACACAGTACGTACATGTTCAACAAGGCTTGCCAAGGTTCTTTAATGAGGTTTGGGTTCATCGGTTCTCGTCCCCTCCATTTGGTTCCCTTTTCATCCTTTTCCCCTTCACACACTTCTGCTTTCCTCTTTTCTTCCATGTCCTCCTGTCTTCACGTCTTTCATTTCATTCTTTCGTTTGCGCGCACATTGGTCCCGGCCTTAGCGTGTACGTGCACAACTACATGTACTTGAAACCTAGGTTTTAGGTGGCCCAGGTCTTTATAATGAGGTGGGTTTCATTGTTTGTCCCTGTGCACTTGGTTCCCCTTTCATCACAACCACCTACACCTTTGTCCCGTCCCGTCCTCTTGTCATGTCTTCATTCTTTTGTCTCTTGCGCGCGCGCACGTGCACATTTGCCTTAACCTTAGTTTTACGCCTCCCCTCGGGGAGGCGTGTGTGTGTAACCCTTGGAATCACAGGGATCCTTTCGGATTGCTTTTGCTTTAGTTTCTTCATTTTGTAGCAGGGGGACTGTCTACCCCACAGAAGTGACAGTCCAACGAAGAGGCTTCTGCGGCGGTACTGATATCACTGGAGACGTCCAGTGACGTACCTGCGTTTTACTTGAGAAATTTCATCGTGGGCCCTGCTTGTAACTAGAACAAGAAATCCAGCCTTTGCACCGGTTTGCTCTCGGCAGTCACGCATAGGGCTTTGGTTTTTGACTTGCAGATGTGAGCGGACGACGTCATTCTGTCGGTCGATCGTTCGATGGCTCCTTTAGATTAGATGGCCACGCTGAACTTGATGGACCTCCACTTCCTTTTCAGGTTTCCTTACCTGTACCCTTAGGAATTGGAACCCTAGGCCGGCGTGTGGCACCGCTTTCAGTTCAGTACACCCTATCCTAAGTGTGTGTGTCTTGTTGGGACGGCATCTTCACACGTCGAGTCATTCGAACCGAAGTGTCGACCAGGCCTCCCTGCCAGCTGTGGGGAAGATACACCCAAATCAGCTAATAGACCTTGCAGCTCCGTCGCAGGAGGGAGCACCTCACAGGAACAGCTCCAAGTCTGGGTGGTTCGGGCACAGAAATGGGATGTTGTTGGAAAGAAACACTTCAAAGAGTGAACAAACAATCAAAGCAGTCTGAAACAAAGCCATTTCCCCTCCTAGTCTCCTTCACTGCCATTATCCATCTCGAGGCCCTCAAGACTGTATGCAGGTTTTAGACTCCAAGGTATCCTGTTTGGCCTCGTTGCTAAAGTCAGCTTGTTCCAGAAAGAGTGAAGGGTAAGAAATGTAGATTTGAGATGTGGAGAGCCAAGAAAAACATCCAGGTGGCCTTGTGGCCAGTGCCGGGATCCTCAACCAATACAATAAACAAATGGAAAGACCACAAAGACCGACAGGAATCCTTCAGAGATTCGTATCATAGTTTAATTAGTTCAACCGTGCAGCGCTTCATGCAGGTGTTCCAACCCGCGTGGTGCGCTACAACCATCGCCTGGATGAGATCACCAAAGGCAGCATGCCTTGGCTACAGTAACCGTGGACTCTTGGTAAGTAACTGTATAGGCTTGCTGAGTGCACCTCAACTCTACGACCCAACACATCGGTTTCATGACTTGCGCAACATGTCTGAGCACGCCTCACACACCCCTTCCTGCCGTTCTGGCAGGTTTCGCCGCCATTCCCGAGCGTACGGAGACACGGAGGGGCTTTGGTCCTTGTCATTGAAAAAGACTACAAACGCAGAGCCAATTGTGCATCAGTCACCTACAGGTGGAGTCTTTAGAAGGACATGTGACATACGGTGCTGGTTCACACAGCAACATGCCTCAAGGATGTTTTCCAGAGGGTGAACCCCAAATGCATGACTTGAAGAAAAATCTTCACATAGGCGGCACAATAGTTGCGCTTCTACTTTTCAGTCCACACTTGCAATTTTGCTAGACACTTCTTCAGAGATTGCGCGTGTGTTAAGTTAGTACTTGGCTTGGGGTTTTCATGACACTTTTTGACGAACTATTTCAATGCGATTATATAGATATTTCATATTTCCAAGAACGGTGCTATGTTGGCTTCCTCGCTCATGGGCGTTTCAGCTTGCGCTACTCAGTGGTCCATCTAGGTGATCTCGCAAACGCCATTCCATTCCTCCCTGATCAGCGTTATTTCGTTCAATGGCTGTTAGTTCTCGAACTGGCGGCGCTACTTACTGCGTGCCAATCTGGGGCGCGTATGGAAAATGCGGGTTCTCTGGATTATTATTATTGCTTTAACAAATGTGTCTTGAATGTGCTTGAACTTCATGAACACCTCACACTCAAGTGGCCTATGCCGGCGGGCATTATTTGTTCGGACAAACCACTTGGACTTTGAACTGTAGATTGACAACCCGCAGTGACGATGGCAGTAATGTCCATTAAGATCCAGCGTTGATCTTCTGGTCCTAACCTTTCTTCACAATCGGTGCGCTGCTATGATGTATGCTGCACCTTTACGGTGCTTGGTTTGGTCACGCACCTCCCAAACCCATGCAATTCTGCTTGCCTTCGATTGTCTTTTGCGGAATCACCAATTTTGCCACCCAAGTCAACTTTCCAGTTTACCTGCTTTAGATTGTATGCCAATGCCGCTGCCAGGCCTAAAGGCCTAGGACCTTTCCGGAGTGATTCACAACTTGTGGGACGCATTTCTTCCCCTCTGGAGATTGAATTACGTACATTAGGAGTGACACACTCAACCGCACCTATCTGGTGGTCTCTAGCCGCTAGCCCAAACGGATTTGATCTCTTCCCAAACGTGATTAGGAGAAGGACTACCAACAAGGTATAGCAGCAATCTTAGCGGCAGCAAGTTAAAACGATGCCTCTCACCTTCTCACTTGACGTTTCAATACTTTGACATTCTGCAACGCCCATGTGGTCAGACTCTCAAACTCCCGACTGCGTTTGTCGCATCAGGAGATATATTTGATTTAGTTATATAAAACATCTCTGAGCCATCTCTCTCGCTCACCCACAGCCACTCGGCTTGAAAAAACCTCCCAGTATTTGATCTCAGCAAACCGAGCTGATTCTAGAGCAGCTGGTTTGGAAGTCCACTTTCTCTGCCGAAGAGACACACAGGCATCAGGCGCGGCTCGATAGAAGCAAGGCGCCTTGCCTGCGCAGGTTGCCACACATTTAGGAGGGAGTCTGTATGACTGTAACCATTGGTGCCTCACACTCTCCACTGGAGAGAACCCCTACGAAGCGACCTCGTTCCAATCGTCCTTTTGGGGTTCATGGTGGTTGCCCAGAACATTGATTGTAGATAAAGAAGAATTGATACGCCCTGTTTTCCAGTGTCTGGTAATGTTTGGTTCCTTCATTCTTACACCAAACTTGTTACTGTATGCGCTGATTTACCTTGGCTGAGACACAAAGCAAAAGTAGACTCCTCCACTGCTGCCAGACCGTAAATCCAGGACCAGTTGTCCGAGCTGCGCATTGCTGCCATCTATCAACCCTCCCGCAGAAGCAGCATGCCTCTGACACAGCGCTAGGGTCCAGGTCCAACGCAAAAACCTTAGCCACCAGTCAGATTTGAGGAGTTCACAGCGGGTGGAGCATGGCGAACTGGAAACACAGCTGTGGGCCTCCTTTTCCTTGCAGACACAAAAAGAGGCATTGAGCTATCATCAAGTGAAAATGGAACTCTTGAATAATTTGGTTTTGCAGAATCCCCCGGCACGGCCAAAGCTAGTAAAAGGACCTGTGACACACTGATCTACTCCTGATCCCAAACTGTGCTAGTGACTGTGGCCTCTGGCACTTCCAGCAACCTCCTCCGCCGGCGCGCGCGACTCTTCACAGCCAGTCTTATGCAAAAAGAATCATGAGGGCAACTCACGCATGTACACAGCATTCCTCTTTTTCTTTTCGAGTTCGGACAGAGTCTGCTGACGCACGCCTAACACACGCCGTGTTCCAAGGCATGGACAGTGTGATGTTAACAGCGTAATGAAATAACACTGGGTAGCAGTCGTGGTATACAAACTCACGGACAATCTGGTAACGTCATCTTAAATGAACTTAACAAACCGCCCATAGTAACACAATCACCCACTGTCCAGCAATCTCAAAAACTGAGGGTGGCTCCTCACGAAAGGAGACCTCTCCCAACTCCCAGTCCTCGTCCAAGGGTCCGTGAGGCCATCTTGAGACAGACCGTCAGACGGATTGCTCGCAGAGTCAATCCATTCGAACAAGACACGCATACAAAAACGGGAGAAAAGGAAGTGCGCCAGTTCGACAGTCGTATGAACATCCAACTGAGTGCTACCGCCCTTGATTAACGATGGGTGAACCAAAAGGACATCACACATATGAAGGCGGGGACCATGGAACCCAGACCACGCAGGGCCTCACCAGGATAGGTCTGTTGCGCACTGGTCGATAACCATCTGGGGGACTAGGGAAGTCACACCTTGAGGTTTCGAGTCACGCCAGAGGATAACCCACCCTAGACGCAAATTCCCATCTTCGTCAGAGTACACAAGCACCGGTTGGTGCGGGGACCCAACTTGAACACCACAAGGGCCAGAATTGGCGGCCACCACGTCAAGCAAGCTGTAGGGGATCAGGTCTTGGTCGCGCCGGAAAGGTTGGGGCTATCAGCATGTTGGTGGGCGCGCTTGTAAGCCAGTCCACATGGCAATGAAGGCCTGGTCTGGAGTAAGTGGACCACCCATGGCCTCAGGTCTGCAAATCATGATGACATAAAAGAAAAACCAGGGTATCAGCTGCATTGGCACCCAACAACTCAACCAATGCGGGCTCCATGGGGTGAGCTCCCTCGCTGCCTGGATCTCCCCGGCAGCGAGGCGGAGACCTGGTCGCTGGAAGTCGGGCACTGCTTCTCCAGCGTCGTCTCCACCTTCCTCCTCGAAGATGGCATGGCCTGGGTCCAGCTGACCCTTGGTCTGGCACCAGTCACAGATGAGGTGCAGCTGGTCACAAGCCGTGCGCAGAGCCGAATACTCAGAGGGCTGCCGGGCGTAACTGCCCTCACACCAAGAAGTGGTGAACTCACTACAACAGCGGCGCCGGGTCACACGGGGCCACGACGCCACAACGTAGGTCGCCCTCGCTGGAAGATCTCCTCGTCGAGCGGCAGGCGAAAGGGCCAGAGGATCCTCTCCCTTATGGCCACGAAGCCAAACACGCGGCGGCGATGAGAGGCATGTCCCAACCGACAAAAAGTAAAGGACCTCTTAATCTTGAGCCAAAATTGCATCAAGATTAAGAGTTAACACCTACCTACATGTTTCAAGTCCCAAAATGTCCCTACCCAACTCAACCATCCATTCATTTTGGGAAGATAAGAAAAACTTCGATCTGAAACTCTTTCTGGGCCAAAGGACTAGCCGCTAAACTTCTCACATCTGTTCAAGCACACAGATCTGCGGCAACCGTGTATATTTTACATCAATACTGGACGGTCAGAGGGCCTGGAATGTCCACCCCGACCAAACGTTGCATCCACAAAAATGGGCTTCCGGTAGGTGTCCGGCTGGAGAGCCTCTGACCAAAAGAAACACCAAAGAGGCCAATCCAAGTGACACTTGGATTCATTGCATTGGTTTTGTTGCGCAAACAGGTCTCCGTACGGCTCGGAAAACGAGCTGCCCAGATTAATTCCTGGTCAAAAAGAACTTCAAGTTTCCTGAACTGTCCAACCTGCACCACCTCGTCACAAAGGATGGGCAAGTGACCATAAACCCTGCAGGGTGGCACAAGAAGTTGCAAAATAAGGAAACATTTTGTCTCAAGATCAGCGCGGGTGAACATGGGTGAACTGATGTGAACTTTACGGTACGCCACTGTGCTCTTGAACTCGTCTCGCCTACCATCCAAAGCTGCTCTGTCGGCGGAAGGCTGCCTTGACAATCGCGCTTTGTCCTGACACTGGCTTCAGGGGTACAACGCAAAACAACAACGCAAAACAAGAGACGAGGACAGTTTGATAGGATGAGATGATCCTCGCCAGAGAGCAACTCAGAGGCAGAGACACCTGGCAAAAGAAACCAATAGTTTTTCTTCAACTACAGGCTCTTGCTGCGAGATTTGTTGCCGGGCAGTTGCCCGGCCATTGTGGTTCAAAGTCTTGCTGCGGGGCAAGTCACCAACACATTTCAACACCACGTACTTGTGATGCTGCATATGTATATGGGAGTTGATCTAAATTCCTTTATCCGGGATCCGTCATTTTCGCCCAAAAACAAATACTTTAGCCAAACTGTCGCCTTCCTGCGTTTTATTTTTCGCCGAAGTATGTTGTATTTATGTGTGCCATGTCTGTTGTGTTTTGTTCACGTCAATGGCTTCTTCTTTACTGGCAAACTCAAAATAGAAACTTCACTGTTTGTCAGCATGCGTCTTCTACTTAACTGTTGACACCCTGTACGTCTCTTTTGTTTCTCCTGGGTGTCAGAAAAAATCAAAAGTGGAAGAATCACTGTAGTATCCGGTCACTCAAACTTACTCATAATGGGCTGGGGGTCAGATGTGGCAGGGTGAACTTTCGCCAATCTTGAGCTGAACTTTCGCCAAACTTTCGCCTTTTGCGGGGTAGAGTTTTGTGGCAAAGCCACCCCCCCCAAAGCAGGAGCAGGAGCAGGAGCAGGAGCAGTAGTAGTAGTAGTAGTAGTAGTGGTAGCAGTAGTAGCAGTAGTAGTAGTGGTAGTAGTGGTAGTAGTGGTAGTAGTGGTAGTAGTAGTAGTTAGTAGTTAGTAGTAAGTAGTAAGTAGTAAGTAGTCAGTAGTGAGTAGTGAGTAGTTAGTAGTTAGTAGTTAGTAGGTAGTAGTAGTAGTAGTTGTCGTCGTCGTCGTAGTGGTAGTGGTAGTGGTAGTGGTAGTGGTAGTAGTAGTAGCAGTAGTCGCAGCAGCAGCAGGTTATCTAATTTCCACAGCTCATCTAACTTCTGAGTCACTGCCACCAGCTGTTCAGGAAGCAATTGAACATTCATACAAAAGTACATATTTAATCTTTCGCCAGATCTTTCGCCAAAAAAATACGTTCGCCAACTTGAGAAAAAACTTTCGCCAAATGAGATTTTGATATGTTCCGGGTCATCGTCATACACAATGCTGTCTAGGACCTTTAGATCGACAACCATATCTTTGCAGAAAAAGGGTAGCAAGTCCACATAAATTGCCAAAAAGGACATTTGAGCGCAGCATTCCAGGACCCAGGACCCAGGGCCTAGGTCCAGAACGGCGGTGTTCACCATCTGCAGCTGTCGCTCTCCGTCGATAGAGACAATTGACAGCTCATCAATGTTGAATTGCAAAGGGGGTTCAACTGACTCATTTGACTTTGCAGCCCTTACACAGGGAAAGGGTTTGTTCAGGGAAGGTCAACTTGACATTGCATTTTTGAATGAGCATTTCAAGACCCAGAGCCTTCACTGAACGAAATGAAGACTGCAAAGCACAACGTTTGCACCGATGTATGTTCAGTCCGGTATGGTTCCGCCGGTTTCCAAACAGGTGGGTTTCGGAGTCACTGGGTGCAAGTGGAAAACACGTGTCATGATATGGCGGTTGTAAGCTGTAGGGGATGCCACGCATCACTTAACTGTCAACCTTCCTTTCTACTGAGGTTATCTACTGCCATCTGCAATCTCTCATGCTATACCACCTTCTATCTGCCTCAAGGATGTCTCAAATTCTCAAAGGCGCGGACAAAAAACCAAGATAAGCCCCCAGCCACGGGGCATCAAAACTACTAGGCAATGGGACCGTCGCGAGTTCACCAACAAGTATTGTCTTTGCCTGTCAACGCGAGCATATCAACACGGCACTATGCCGACATAGCACAAACCATGGACATGTGCCCATATATTAGTTGCAAGCACGGCAACGCCACTACAAGCAAGAACCAGCAAGCCTGCTCTGGAGCCTGCAACCTTGTCAGTCAGTGCGACAGCATGATCCGACTTCAGCATCTCAGTGTGACAACATGTCAGCGTGTCAGCGTGACCCATGCCAGCGCGCCAGCATCACAACATGTTAGCGTGACACCACACAAGGATATCAGCGTGAAAGCACGAATCACATCAGCATATCCGCATGGCAACCTGTCAGCGCGTCAGAGATACACAGCACAATATGCAGCATATTTGCAGCTTTGCGATGAACTTAAAGTGATCCGGAACTTCCACCGGAAACTCATCCAGAAGCAACCTCCTCCGGAACCTGCTCCAGCACCTGCACGGGAACTTGCTCCCCACGAGACCTGCTGCATTGGAACCTGCCCGCTAACTTGCCCCAGAACCTGCTCCGGAACCTGCTCAGAAACCTCTCCGAAACAAACCTTTTCGGAACTTGCTCTGGAACCTGCTCCCGAACTTGCTCCGGTCCTACGTATGCGTAGGGTATTTTAAATTCAGTCAAGTGTAAATCCAGATCTGAGATCACAGCCCGCCTTGTGAGTAACTTCATCGGGCGCTAGCTTGAGGCTTTCCATATCAGACCTTTAGTCTTGGACGTGTCAATTGTATCCTGTGGTTAACTTGATTCTCTCCTCACCCTGGCTTTGTCAAGTCAGCCTTCGGCTCAAATGTCTTCTGTTACCTTTTGACTTTGGCCAAGCTTCAGGAGCACCAAGGCCTCTTCCCACCTGTCAAGGCCAAGCGTGATGGAGTATTGATTGTATCACTTGGGGTGGATTGCCATAGCATGGGTAATGATCCTCTAGTCTCAAAGAAATGATAAGAAATGTAAGTAGAGCCTTGCCTGGGCAAAAGAAGCTATACTTATACTTGGTCCTTTCATGCCCTTTCAATCTTCAAAAGGTGGGAGTGTGCGCGTGCATGCGAACGGGCGGCGGGCTGGCAGGCGGGCATGCGTGGATGTGCGTTCGTGCGTGCAGGTGGGCGTGGGAGCGGGTGTGTCCGTGGGTGTGGGTGTGGGTGGATCCGTTTTGGAGGTGATTCAGATTGTGGAGAACACTGAAGAACGGACCGGATGAGTCATGTGCCGGTCAACCCGTCTTTCAAGAAACCTGCAACCTGCCAAGAAGTTCAGAGAGGACATGCAGAGGGGAACTTCAGCTTGCCACTTTGGTATTGCATTGACCATGCTGCTGTTGTGTTTGTCCACAGCGCTAGAAGACTTGCGCTCTTACGGCTTTCAAAGCGTGTAGAAAGAATGACAACATAGTTAACAGCAAAGCCCCACATGCAATCGTCACGACTGAGAATATAGAGCAAATCGGGAAAGCCATCTGCTCTACTGCCAAACAGCAAAGTACTCCATTTCAAAAACATCATGTTGGCATTCTTCCCTTGCTTGCTGCCGTCGGCTGCGCGAATTTAGGCGCCAAGCCAAACTGTACCGTTCAACGTTGGCTCGGCTGATCATGGATGTTGTTTAGTGAGGACTGGCTCCAAACAGCAGCCGATTCACGTTGTCCCCCGAGACGCAGTTGTGCAATGAAGTTTCGGTCTTTGAGCAATTTATTATCAATATTGCACTTTGAAGCCTATCGGCATGATGGTCCTGAAAGCTCTTCATTTCTTCTCTTTGGCATTCTTTGGCTAACTTTTCACCGAAGGTGTGTCCAACTTCAACTGAGTGCCTTCGTGCCCGAGCACAAGCTCCCAAGGCACAATTGAAGGTGATTCCCTCAGGAGTTTGTCATGGAAGCTCAGTCAGTGTCAGTGAAGGCCCAACTGGACTTTGACTTTCGCTTCATGACTCAATCACCATCAAAGGTGGACCGTATAACACATACAATAATGCATGTGCAAAGTACTGGTCAATCACTCAACTTTCTGTGTCCCCAGCATCAATTTCAACGCTCCGCCTGAGCCAAGTGGAAGTTGGCAAGGAAACCGATGTGTGTATCGCTTGGGAGAACCCAAAGCCCGGTGGCAATCAAGCCTAAATTCAGAGAAAGTACTGTAGAGTATATTTATATGGAGCAAATATTGCTGGACCCCGGTCTGCTTCTACAAAATGTCTGCCAATGAGACACCACCTTGATCACACCTGAGTTACAAGCTCAGCCGCTTCATGAAGAAGATGAAGGCTCAAATCCCATCCTGAGGCACTGATTTGGTGGGGACGACCATAAGGAAAGTGCTGGACTCAAACTTTGACCGTGGCAATGTGGACTCACCAATATCTGAGTAAAACAGACCCCCGCAATTGTGACACAGCACACCGAGGAAAACATGCGGAAAGGGCGTGAAAGTCCCACCTAGCATTCCTTGAAGCATTGCACCTTTTTCAGCAATCTCGACATACAAGTCTGGACTGCACGTGGGCTTAAACTGCTTGTATAGATAAGCGCTTTGTCTGGCGTTGTTTGCCAGTGTGGTTTTGCAATTTGCAAGCAAAGCATGGCACGCAAAATCTTGCACATAATCGTTCAATGACAAGCGTTTGTATGTCCAAGAAGTTTTATGATGCAAACACAGCTCTTGGTGCTGCATGTCTATTCCATCGAGAAGCAGTTTCTGTTGATGAATTGGTCACAAAACAAAACTCAAGAGCAGAAGCACTGTGGGTGGGTTGCCCTGAGTTGGAGGTACCAGGTACACGGTCTTGAAAGTGCAGAATTAAATTCTTCTCTCGACGCGCATCAATCTCATCTCTGGCATCTTGAACGTCAAACTCTTGACTGAGAGAGTGAAAAGCACATCAAGCACGCTCCACTAAGCTGTTCTTCAGGCCCGCTCCATGAAGACTGGGCCGTTTAGTGGTCGCGAAGCTCCTTGTAAATGCGACTCAAACTCCCCAAACCGATACTCACGAAGGCTCATTTGAGCCCTTTCTGAGGAAGAATGAACTCACTCACACCCACAAGCGATTAAATTCTAGCATCTTTATGATCACCAGGCTCTGTCTTGAAAAGACAATTCCTTCGCCTGCATGTGCAAGTCCCGTTCAAGTGCATCTTCAATATCAGTTTTAGGAAAGATGCCAGGTGCAAGACTTTCGAGCGGAAGGTGTTCCCAACTCTTGCACCTAGCACCTCAAATGCATTTCACCTTCCATGCTCATTAACATCCAACTCCACAAATGGTCAGATGGATATTTTCGTTTGTAGAGGGCTTGTCACGAAGGATGCTGGCTGGGCCATGTCAAACACCCGTTAGCGTGTCCACCGTTTCGAAAACTCCGAACACTCTGAAAAGGTAATTTCACAATTTATACCTGGAAGGTTGCGCTGGCTCAATCCACATGATGAGAACGGGCCCACCTGAGACTCCACGCTTTGCCCCTGTCCGCATGCATTCATAGCTGCGCTCAAGGCCAACACATTGGGCTCGGGCCTTAGTCACTGTGAGAATGCACAACGTTACCATCACTAGAACTTGTCAAACCCTCCAAACAAAAACCCAACATGTTTTGCCCCTTGGCTCCTCTAGCCACCTGAGCTCACTGGGTGTTCCGTCCCCTTTTGCCAGCCCTCATCCAGCAAATGCAATGCGCCAGGCCAGTGAGAACCTGAAGTCTGGGCAACATGAAGGTGGAGTTTGGCGTTTATCAACAGTTTGGTTGATGCAGCTTCTAGAGAAGAACTTGGGTTATATAAGGCCGCTGCGTCAAAGTCAAGGAAAAAGGACAAATATAGAAAAAGAATTGCGGATTTGCTTTGCGACTCGTGGCAGGCCAACTAGGGCCGCTCAGGCCCACGCCGCGCTCACAGGCCGACACAGCGGCACCCAAGGTTGCAGGGCCTTGAAGGTGGGGAAGATGAAACAATTTGTTGCTTTCCAAGAAATCATGTTTCTTTTTAGCCCGCCCTTAATTGATTAAGCAGGCTACTAGGTAACCTGCTACAGGATAGCTCACGCTTCTTCAAGGAAGCTCCCCCTGCCTGAGGGCAGAAAGGAGTTTCCTTATTGATTGGGTTCCTGGATTGAAACTTAAAGAATCTTAGACTCTCGTTGACTCTCCAGCTCTTGAAGGAGTTTCTTTGTTAAACTATTCCATTCCCAAACTTCCTTAAAGAACTTGAGCTAAATGAGCAGCTAGTTCAGTGTTTTAGCATTGGATGGCCTTGGTTTCGACTGAAAACGCACTTGCTGTGGCACAGCTGGGCGAGGTTGTTTTGTTCCAACAATTGGCTTCCAGTGAGTGGTTCCTAAATGAGAAATGGCAGTCTACAGAGATTGCGGAATCGACTCAACACTCGAGAGGAGGGAGACACGAAAGGTAGGACAGCGGGAAGAGAAGAGAACGCGAGAGGCAGGAACAAAAATGCAATGTTCGACATGGTGATTTATCCCCTGGGAGGCGACCTTTCGTAAATATAAGTTCATCTGCACTCTAAATGTTCCAACATATGCTCTCGAAATGTTCAAAAAGATTCTTAGGAAAACAAACTTGCCCCATGGCTCAGATCATCGGTGAGCATTGAATCGGAGCATCATAGGATTTGAACTATCCTGAAACCATAAGAGGCTCACGAAGACGTTCCCCAGGAGAGAATTGACGTGCTTCACAAAACAAACTCTAGGTATGTATCCCCTCGGGGAACACCTTTCGTGATTAGAATTTCATATGCACTCTTTCTGAATGTTCAAGAGGGTTTCAACTATCCTGAAATCATGAGAGGCTCACGAAGACGTTCTCCAGGAGAGAATTGATTTTGTGGGGGGGAGGGGGGGGGTCTGTATTGAGAAATCAATTCCAAGGGGGTGGGGGGGGGGCCTATTGAAAAATCAATTCCAAGCGGGGGGGGGGTTGAATTGAGCAATCAAGTATTCGACCCGGAAGAGCCGACACTTGCTTCGCAAGACAAACTCAACGTATCCCCTAAAGGGCTACCTTTCGTGACCTCATTGAGAGAGAGAGGCATGGTCCTTTGATGCCATCCCCCCAGTTCCCCCGCCAGTTAGCTACCACCCCAAGGTGTTTGCACACCTATTCTCTGGGATAAGGCGTTCTGGAGGGCTTTCAGACGTGGGTCGAAAAACTGGGCGGCCTGGCGGTGTCGATCGACATAATATTCGACATCCAATGGGGAAACCTACTGCAGAAGTCGACTTTTGAGTTGTTCGCCAGGGCGATCAACGACCGAGTCATGCTCGGTTTCTTGGCAGGTCCGCCATGCGAGACCTGGTCTCGCGCCAGGGAGGTGGGAGGGACCCAGACCATTGAGAAGCCGAGTGCCAAGTGGCCTTCCGCATCCAAACTGTAAGAGTGACCAGGTTGCCATCGGCACCCAGTTGTTAGGAGTGGCTTTTCGCTTGTTCTTGGTGGCGCTGTTGCATGGTGCAACGGCAATCCTCGCGCATCCGGCGTGTCCGGAAGATCAACCACAGTACCCCTCGATCTGGAGGTTACCCATTGTTGAGTTTTTGCTCCGCTTTGAGGCTTGCGGCTTGCACAAAACTGCGCATTTGGCAGGGATTGTACAGAGGTGTGGCACCCAAACCGACAGACCTGTCAATAGCACACGGAGGGCCTCAGCTTGAGCATTGCTTTTGGAGAACCGGTCCACCCCTATGCCGAAGAGGTGATGCATCGGGAGGAACGATGATGGGACGTGGAAAACAGGCATCTTAAAGCAATATCCAGAACAGCTTTGCCATGTTTTTGCGCTGGTCATGAACAGAACCCAACTTTTCGATGAAGTACTGCAGCCTATCCCAGCCTGGTTCCAACAGGCGGTTGAACATTTGGTCGTAATTTGTTTGACTGCAAGGCTAGTCACAAGCGTTTACGCTCTCGACGAATGCGAAAGAAAGAAAGTGTGTTGCTTGGGTTGAGTGGACACATTGAAGCTGTTGGTTTGTAGTGGATTACTCTGTTGATGTTCCAAAATCATACAGTAAATAGTAAATCTGGCGTTACTTCCCTCCCCTTACTTACCTCTTCACGACCTACCCCGGGCAAAAAACACATATAGTGTTCTATGACTTGATAAAAACCTGGTCTGTCTTCACTGTGTCAAGGACAGCAGTCTGCCTCGACGCTCAAACTCAAAGGGAACCCTGGGCCTCACGGCTTGATGCGATCTGGTTTTCTTCCATGGCATTTAGTAGCTGGAGGCTCACCTGTGCCCAGTGCACCCAGCGGACCAAATCGGCCACGGAAAACCAGACCATGCAGCATGCAAATTCAAACCGGACAACCAGACAGATTGGCAAATGCTAACACTGCGTCATCACATCTACGTCTACCGACATTTAAGTTCAAGCCGGGACAGGTCCGCAGCCTCCCAATGACGAGCACGCGCACAGGCTGTGATCGTAGCATTGAAGCTAATGTAGTTTCTTTCAAGGCCTGTCTCTCCACCAGCATGCAAGTTTAATTTGATCAGGTTTCCACTGCACGTTAACGTGACCGTGTGGTCCTGAACAAGGACCGCCGACCTGGTCCTATGATTCTCTCAAAATCCATGACCTGCTTCAAACCAATCAGTATTTCACCTCAAAATCTAACAAGGCCCCGGTGTGTTTGGAGAACCTGCAGTGGGCATCACTTCCAGCAATGACAAGGCTGCTTGCCACGCTGCAGCCTCAGTTCTGCTTTGCATGCTGTTTGGAAGCAACTGTTAGTCCACCGGATACTTGTCTCTGTACAAGCCAAAGCCGACTCTTGAAAGTGTTGGAATGGTAGCACGCAGGTTGGCGGCTTGTTTTCTGTTGCAAAGGTGCAGTCATCCGAGACCCAGGAGATCGACCTGAGCGCTCCCAAAGCCGGAAGCAAACACAAGAAGTTGAAAGAAGTGGAGGCCATTGCTATTAAGCTTCCCAAAAATCTAGGAACCAAATCATTAGTGCGAGCGCTTCTTCAAGGAAGCTTGAAGAAGCGTGACTCGAGTAAGCTACTAGCTGCCCAGCTACCTAGCTACCTACCTCTACTATAGTATTACTATAGCGGCCTACCCCCCCCAAAAAAAGAAAGAAATTGGAGTAACAGGCAAACTTGTTTTGTTTCCAGCTTCGGAGCCACGTCGCAAAAACTGTGATACTTTGCTTGGCCCCTTGCCGAAGGCTCTGGCGCTTTGGGCGATCCATAGCCGGCCGACGGTTTGGGCACCTCTGTGCAATCCAAGTCCTCCGCCAAACCCGCAACACCCCGTGCAAAGCGAGCAAAAAAGGAGCAGAACGAACATAAAAGTATAAAGACCCCAAACTACGTGGAACATCGTGGAACTGGGCCTACATTGTTAGAGACACTTGTATGATCTTGTATGACACTCTTGTGGGACACCCTTCTAAAACATTCTTGTGGGACACCCTTGTGGGGCATGCTTGTAAAACACTCTCGCTTGAGATTTGTGAGGCAGTCTGAGGACACTCTTGTGGGACACTGTAGGGCACTCTTGTAGGACACTCTCACGTAAGACATTCTTGTGGGACACTCTTGTAGGACACTCTTTTGGGAAAACACCACTCACCCTGCTCACCAGCGACACGCCGCGTTTATGCCATCATGTTTCCCTTCCCGCAATGGCACGAAGCCACGCAACCACACTTTCCGCCAAGGCTGGAAACCAAAAGGGCACCACCCAAGTAGCAGATTTCTTTGTTGGCACTTACAGTACAGTGCTTCCCGACCAACAGCAGTCACCAACCCAACATTGGGCAATCGCCGAGCTTTGTGGGCACCACGACTAGATCTAGTTGCACATCTTAGTGAAACACTTCCTTTGGGTGTTGTTTTTGTGCACCAAATTGAAAACAAATTGAAAACCCTCAAACCCTTCCGAGTCCAGCAAATCGACGCCGTCCCAGCTGAAGTCGGCGTTCGACACAGGCTTCGTTGGCGACTGGGGCAAAGGCATAAAGGCATGCGGCATTCTTGTCACCCTTAAAGAGCTGTATTGAACTTAGAAGCCCTTTGTATGTATGAACGTGTCATTGCCAAACTTTGCCACATCTAAGTTGCAATCTCAAAATGCTCTGCGTGTTGCCCACAGCCTCCACTGGTGGCTGCAAAGCACTCCAAGCGGCCACACGAAAGTAGCTCCTGAATCTGTCGAGGGCCCGCAATGCACAAAACCTTCCCGTTGAGAACACACAGAGATGACTACATGCTCAAAACTAGTCTAGATCAGCCGAAACATGTTGAAATCATACAACTGCGTGGAAAGTCTGCCGTTGATTGCAAGTGAGCTTCATCTAAATGGGCTTGCATCCCACCAGTACTCTGGGTCTGTCTACTCACACTGGCTAGTCTGCAACCCTACGGCCCGACTAATGTGTTGGTGTTTGTCAAAGTACGGGACAGCCCAGATGATGGGATTCTCACCAAAACTTGTAGTCTTTGGATGATTTGGGGGGTCGCATAATTTGAGAACCCCCCTAATATGTATTTGCTCGTCACGACGCCAACCTCGCACGCTCTGCATAAGCAAGCTGTCCAATTCAAGCGTACAGTACAGACCTTCCTTGATAGTGCCCGACCTTTCTTTCTGCGTGCCAGAAGTTCTTTTACCGTTATAGTGACAATACCGCGCAAAAATGTGGTGGGTAAGGGTCCCTGAGAACACATAATGTCCTCTTCCGCGACTTCAAGTGGCGCTTCTCAGAGCCTTGCCAAATTAGCCACGACATCGACTCATCTTTCATGTTGCTTGAGGAGAGGGCATTGATATTAGGACCTGATGTTGATTAGCACCAAAATCGGCGACCCTTCTAGTTTGGATGGCACCTTGTTGATATTGGGAATGACAGAATGAACAACGTCCATTCATTTTCACCACGGCCTGCCGCCTTGAGCTCATAGACGCTCAAATACACGGGCGGGGAACCACAAAGCCTTCAATAGAATCAAGGAAATTCAAGAGATCCAACAACAACCTACACATAAAGAAGTTGAGCTGCAAAAAATCGATCATGTTCTTGCTGATAATAATATATTATATATATATATATATCAAGCTCTCAAAAAGAATGGCAATCTGCTTAGTTTGATTTTTTAAATGCTCTGGGCACCCAGGCCTGTTGAAGTCCAAGGTCACCCCTGGCATGATGCCGCCAGTGATTTCCCAACCTCGGCAGTACTTTGCAGCTGACTGGAACCCGGGACTCATGCAATCTGGAGATGTGGAAAAGAAAACGATTGGTTGCCAGAGTCTCCTGTCGAACCATGAGATGATCAGGTTACAAAATGCGCACAAACTCTGCACCAAGTACGACTCCACAAGAATGATCACACCCAACAACTTGGAGGCATTGCAATTCCGAAAACGAAACTGACGCCAGCCCGTTTTATCGCGCGAACCCCTGACCCCACACCACGTTCTGGTGACAGTGCATCCTGACATTGCAGTATGATCAGTATGACTGTTACCTTGCTGCAACGTCGTGTACCTTAAGGCCTTAAAGGGTTGCCTTCCAGAATCTGCATCAGCCTGCATCACTGAAAAGAATCTTGGGTATCGGACGAACACAGTCGAGGAACTGCGAAATGCCCCAGAAACAGAATGTGTAGACCTTGGGTCGCTCACTAGGCAGCTGTTCAAATTTACGAAATTGCCCGTTGTTTGCCTAGCTGTCCTTGGCGCCTAGCGTGCTCCGTGGACAGCTCTGAAAGAGCCTGGCTAAAATATGCAAAGGTGAGGGCAACAAGAACTTCAACCAACCAGAGATGCCTACGTGGCCATGAGGTGGCATGTGTCGACAGCCCTCCCATCTTGGAAGGTCAAACGGACAAGTGGAACACATCTGTGCCGCAATGAACGGACGACGACAGCTTTGACTGCATCTTCAGCATGTCATGGAGTGACATTCACACCGGTGGAAGGGAGGCCTGGTTCAAAGCTCTCCTCTTCATCGTGAGGACAATCCTGCTTCGTGCACACTGGTAGGAGGCGCCCTGCTCAGTATGATGGACATCTTTGTTCCACGTTCAACCCACTCGCCCGCCCCCGGCCTTTCTCAAAGCTGTCACATAGGCTTTGGCACCGTCACTCCTGCCTAATCTGGCACTTCAAGCCCTCCAATTCAAAAAAACAACTAGTCATCTACCAGCCCATGCACGGCACGCCGTTAGTGAAAACACGCGTGCGCGTGCTTGTGCGTGTGCTCGTGCGTGCGGGCAGGCGGGCGGGCAGGCGGGCGGGCGTGGGTGTGTGTTTGTGTGGCAGGGGGACCAGGCATCTTGCTGCTCACCTGGTCTAATAAAGCTCTCTCTCTCTCTCTCCTTCTCTCTCTCTCTCTCTCTGTCTCTTGCTCTCTCCTTCTCCCTCTCTCTCTTCCTCTTTGTCTCTCTCTCTCTCTCTTTCTTTCTCTCAGAGCGTACCCTGACCGGGTTTTTACATGACACCAGCAAGGGGCGGTAAACAATGTGGAGGTAGGACGTCAAAAGAACGCAGGCAAAGCAGCAGGGCACAGGCGCAAGCCAAGAAGCGATGGAGATGAAACATAGGAACGGAAGTGTGGGGGGTATATACCAGAGCCAGTGAAAGATTGCTACTGGGTGGGAGCTAGAGTCACATGGAACGGTTGCAACAAAAAGCACTGACCTTGCGATGCGACATGCGTGAGTCCATGAACATGAATGCAAAGTGCAGTGCGGATCAAAAACGGATATGTGACCGTTTTTTCAAATTCCACAAAGTACTGCGCCTGCCACGAACCACTGAACACGCGTGAATCCCTTCAAGGACCGCAAAAGGCTGCGCCTGCCACCACAAAGCACTTCGCCTGCCACGAAAGTCCACAAAAGTATTGCGCCTGTCCCGAAATCTGCACTTCCAAGGCCCACAAAGTACTGCACCTGCCACGAACTCTGCACTTCAAGGTCCACTAAGTACTGCACCTGCCACAAACTCTGCACTTCAAGGTCCACAAATCTTTAATCTCCTCGTTAAGACTTAATCAAGAAAAACATGCCTTCAAATAATACCTTGTTGGAGTGTTCTTTTGAGCTGTTTACTTTACTAAAGTCAAAAATAAGATGAAAACAACTCCAGAATCCAAAAAATATGTTTTTTACCCTTTGATGTTAGTTCTAAGCTGTTTAGCTACCGAGAAGCAAACACAAAGATGGAAAATATAACCTGCATATTTGTTGGCCGCGTTAATCATATTTCCTTGCTAAAGTAGACAAACCAGAGAAAACCCTTAAAAAACGATGAAAAATAGACCTCAATAGACCCCAGGTCTCGAGCCTTGGAAATAGTTACAAAAGTTAAGAAATGTGTTTTGGTTTGAATGGTTTGAACTAGTTTTCCATACTAGTTACTAGATCAACTAAGGGACGAATAGTATTGCCATGTTCTTATTATACTTTTTGAAGTCTTAAGTTTTCTGTTGTCCTGCGCAGACATCAAAAACCAAAAAAACATTTACAAATCAAAAAATAAGCAATAGACATTTTATTGATCCCAGTTCTGGAGCCTTGGAAACAATTACAAAAAGCTGGAACAGGCAAATATTTTGTATGTTTCTTGACATTTTCCTTGTCTTTTTCATATCTGATTCAAAGTGACAGAAAATGATTCAAAACGCGAAAAGAAACTAAAAGTTCAAATTTGACTGGCCCCAGATCTGCAGCCTTGGAAGA